CAAGAGAGAAAGAATTAGGCATCCCCAGCAAAAAAAAAAGAGAAAGGCCAAGATAAAAATATATAATCAGTACTGTAGTACCTGATCATATTTGGCATCCTCTTGAGACTCACCCTGGCCTGTGTTTAGCAGATATATCTGCCCAACTTCATCTGAAAGTACAATCGATGTCCCATCTCTACATGATAACAAAGGAAAAACTAATTTTGAATACTGTGAGAGAGATGTGGCCTAATATTTTAAGTTCACATGCAACAAATGGGAATTTAAGAAAGCAAAATACCTAACTGGGAAATTAAGCGCTCAAATATAAATCTAAAATGCATACAGTTGAGGTCAATAACATGGTCAACACTATAATTTAACGTACCTCAAAAACAGTTAGGATGAAAAATAAAATTGCAAAAATGGTAAAAATAAATAACATAGTAGGATTTCATCATCCAATACTTATCATGGATGATCCCCCATTAAGGATCATCAAGAGAGTATAGCCTAAACCTAGCTATACTTATTATAAAGAAAAGAAAATATCATCAAGAGGGAACGAGCATCTTAAAAGAGGAGAGAACATATCCTCCTAGCAATAGAACAGAAGAAGGAAAAGAGGGTGTGACGTCAACATAAGATAACCTCCCAATTCTTTTCTAGAATATGTGCAGGGCAGTTCAGTTACTAAAGACCCCGATATTGTGTTCTAGCTACAAAACCTAAAGAACCCCTTCCATAACATGCTATATCCCTTCCACACCTCAAATAGCCCTCAAAAACAGGAGGGCAAATCTAACAAGCCCCAAAGGGTGGAAAACAGTTCATCACGAAGCTCTAAAGCCACTTCACAGTGTGAAAATAAATAACTTTTAGTCTCTAATGCCTAGGAACATATAGCACAAATCTAAGGGAAATAGCTTTATTGGTTCGTCGCATCTAAGACAAATAACCATGTTTGTGCTATACGGCATCAAGGGGGTGCCACTCATGTATGAAATATTTAAATCTCAGTTACAACATCAAATACCTTCCCAAAATCATCCCACCCATAAATATCATGATCCAGCAAAAGAGTCCCAAAAACATTAATCCATGTGTCCCTAAAACATTTGTAATAAGCACAGAACGTTGAGATAAAGACATTAAATTTTTGGGAACTTTCACTTTCTAAGAAGGGATAGCAGTACAAGTTAGAAATGTAGAGAACGATTTGAAAGAGGCTGAATTTAAAGAAACTATCAGTCAAGTCTGATTATCAGGTCTAGGCAAAGACTCAAGCAACATAAGGAAGCCATAAAGTCTGAAACCTCCCTATTATTAGATATCTAAAAACTTAGAAAGTTAAAACTTCAGGAGAAAGTAGTCTTTATTAAGTAACAAAGCATAAGTACGATGGTGATATGAGAAAAGATCATAAAGGCAAGGAAACAAAGTAAAAGAAAAAAGGACTCTCAATCAAGTATCCTAGGACGAAACAGGAGACAACTCCCCATCCTCAACTGTTGCAGCAAACAAAAAATGAGGATATAATTGAAATGTAAATTTCCATGGGCTTTGTTGATTCTTCTTCGGCCCTATTTCCCCATTTGGACAAATACCAATTCCTAATGAAAGCACAATTTAGTCTATTTAAATTATTCCAAATTATGCTTGAAAAAGAAGGTCAATAATTTACAATAAAGACTTTTTCTCTTCCATCATTTGGATGTGCAAAGTTTGTGTCACATGTATAGATAAAACTAGCGGGAATCAGCATCTAGTAAGTATCTCTAGGTATTTAAATAAAAGGGAAAAATTATAATTTCACCACTTTTAGTTTGGTTTTTTTCAAAACCCTCTGATTGTTTCACAAGCATAATCAGGCGAAAACCATGGGCCAAAGGGCAACAAGAAGGTCTATTTAGGATGAGTTATAGGCTTGGCAGGGTATATAGGGAAATACGAGAAGGAGAAAGTTACTATATCGTCCCTGTGACTACCTCATGGATTGTCTGGAAGAAACAGAACCATATAACTCAGCAGATGTAATTTTTTCTGTTGATAAAGTTATAGGCTCTAGGCTCTGATTTTATCTTTTGTTCAAGGGTTCATTCTCTCACTATTAATGAAAACTTCGAAGACTATATAAATATTTTGACTAAGCTGTAAATTCTCTTTTTATACACGAATGATAACGCTTGGTGCCTTGCCTATACTCGTTCATATTTTCCTCTAAAAGAAACCTATCAAAAGATATACCATTTGTCCAGCGGGGATAACACTCTTACTTTACTGACGACGTGAGTATCTAGTGGCTCTAATCCTATTACATGCTGAAGATTCTGTTGTAATTATCAATAAATAGATAAATCTGAAATGTTATTTACAGAATTCAGCATATTATAGAGGTTCGAGGTTAAGTCTGAGATAGGACAGTTTGCTGGGATGAGGAAGAAAGATGAGATATTTTCTTACTTCTTTGAGAAAAATGAAGAGCCACATGATACTTAAATAGTTAAATATAACAGTTTTATCACTTTTATCTAGTGATCCTCGGAGGTAGCCAACTATTTTACAATTACAACAAAATTTAGTTGAAAAAGGCTCCACAATAAGAACTGAAAATTGAAGTTAACAATAAGGTAATGTAATTGTTCTATATATGATGCTAAGGAAACATTTTAATAATAATAATACCACCACCAACACTGATGACATAACATAACATAAACTACAGTTCTATGCCATTGTAAAGCAACTTACTGAGAAAACTTCCCATCAATCAACTTGAAGCGTCCAATTTCATATATACGAATGGGTGTGCCCTCCCAGATCTAGAATTGCAAGACATAAAAGAAATTAGCAAACAAGCATGGAAGAACATTTTCTAAAATTCAACATGAAGTACTTTAAGAAGCAGGAACTTACATCCCAGATTATTGTTTTTCCATCATAACCGGCACTCATGGCTAT